TGCAATAGTCAATCACTGTACCAGGTGACCTTGTTACTTGGTTGTATTGTACCAAGAAGGCTGCAACCCTGTAACAGTATTTAGCATAGAGAAGATGGTGTTACGTTTAATGTACCTAGTGCTACAAAAATTGGAATAACATATATAGTTAATCCAACTATTGGAATTTGTTTATGCTTTGCCAGTATTTCAGGAGCTCCATGCAAACATCAAACTGCTATTACTATAAAATTTCAAGAAGAAATGTCTAATTTTGTTGATACTTTTACAATTAATGACCAAATAGATTATTTTTATATTGTGACTAGTAATATTATTATAAAATATATATTTATTAAAATGCATGATATTTAATTTATATCTTGTTACTATATTAGGTTCAGTAGTTCAAGAAAGATCTTTTTATGCTTTTTTGCATTGCCAAATTCATTCAGTATCTAAAAATAAAACTATTAACTAGCCAAAGAATCAAGAATCTGCAATCTCAACAAATTCTAAAGTCATTATAAATAAAAGAATTATTATATTGAATTATTATAAAAATATTTGATTACTTGCTAATTTAGTAATTCTTTTGTTTATAGTTTTACAGAAAATGCTAATAGAGGTGTTAATGGTGATGAAGAGCTAAATGCTAATAATGATGATGATGAAGAGTTAAATACTAATAGTGATGAAGAGTCAAATTGAATTAAATCTCTGGCTAGTTTCTTTCACAAAGTGAAAAGTGATATCAAACAAAACTTACAACTACTTTTAGCTTTCAAAAAGTTTCAAATAGAATATTATAAAGCAAAAAACCTCTCTGAAATAAGCTGGTTTCATTTGTTTATTAGCATGCAAGTAGTTTTGCAATAAATCGAAGTAGTAAAAAAATACCTGTTCAAGTAACATCAGTACAAAGAAGAAAGGAAAGATGGCTATTAGGTAAAGAAAATAAGGATCTGCATAAAATGCTGCTGAGAAAAAAAAGAAAAGTAATCTGAAAACTGCATAATTTAGCACAGAATATCGCAAAACAGAAAGCTAATTAATTTTAATTAGTTAATATATTTGTTTATTTTATTAAAAGTTTAATACAATACTGATCTTACATATTATAAAAAAAAAATGCTTGGTTCTAATATGTATAACTGCATAATTTGAGCTAATTTGAATTGCTATACGTATAAATATTAAAATATTATCACATATTTTGACAAGAGCATAGTTCATTATACTAATAAGAGATCTGGTTTGTATTAGGTATTATTATAATTATCTTTGTGTTATTTTGAGGAAATTGGCACAAAATATGCATATACACTTTTAGCACATGTGGATCAAAATTCAAAAAATTTTTGAGTATGAAAAAAGAAAAATATATATTTTCGATATTGGTTGTCTCTGATTAGTAAATGCAATTCTAATTTTGCTATATAGTGTTTTTCAGATTTAAAATTATAGGACAGTCTTATTTAGTATATTCATAATAAAAAAAAAGAATTTTTTTTAAAAATTTTAGATATAAGAGTTTTACAAACTATAATCTCTAAAGATTTGCTCTTTGTAAAAGATATTAGATATTTGTATTACTAAATCTAGTATACACTAGGATAAAATTACTACCCAAAAAAGTATATAATAAAATATTAATTAATTTAATAAATGATTTTGTTTTTTTAGATTCTTCAAAATGTAAATTGATTGTTTCAATCTTTTAAAAACATAAATCCAATAACACAAATATTCTAAAAATACATATTATTCATCGTAACTAAATTTTTACTAATGACAATTGAAAAAAAATAAAATTATAAAAACTAATTAACCAAATGCAATTACACCAAAAAATCTTATTGATGTTATTTTAAATGCTCTTTTAGAAGACTATAACTCTGATTATTTATTTAAGCAAAAAATTTTATAATTCTGAATCCAGAATGCAACAAAAAATTATTGAAGAAAATATGAATCCAAATATATAATAACAAATAGATCGATGCTAAAAATTTTGAGCTATTGCATAAATTAAAAGAGGATTATAATCATTTTAAAAAGCAATGAAATATTCCAAATACTTAGAAAAATCAGAATAATAATATTTTCTGACTGTAATAAATATTATGTTTATTGAAATAATAAAATGAATAATTTATTGCTTATTGTTATTATTTTTTAATCTATAAATTTTGTTTGTTCAAGTTAAATGACTTTTTGGTACTCGATATACTTGTCACGTAATGATCAAAACTTTTTTTAGGATGGTGATTTTAACTTGATCGAAGATTTATTATAATGATAGTACAATATATTACACATGATTTACATTATATATAACTAAGCACAGATTTCGTAAATGCACAATTAACATACTTGTTACAGAAAAAAGGAAACTCTTCTGATATAACTTTAAGTAGTTAGATAAACAGTTTATTTTTAACTAAGATAGTGCATTTAAATACTATTAGAGTAACTAAGTAATATTAAACTTAGATATTAGGAAATTCTATATAATTGTATTTATATATAGTTTCAGAAATTTTAATAAAGTACTAACATAATTGTTTAAATTAAAAAAAATATTTTGGTTCTAGCTTATAATAATACTATATATTTTATTCTTTATATATATGTATTTTAAATATATATTTTTTAAAGGATTTATAATTTTTTGTCTATGCAATGTATCGTCACTTATTTTTTTTTTTTTTTTTATTATTAAGGTGACCTCTTTGGTCTTTTGACTTTTATTAATCACTTATCAGTATTGTGGTTCAATGAACCACTACAGA